GCTTCCACAAAGCCCCGTAGAATCCCACCCCACGAAACCTCAACAGCCATATACAACGTAGACCAACATATCCCCACGAGATCTTTACACGGTCCAGCAAATGCTTTAAAGTCAGTGCCCTTCGACGCAGGCGGCGGCGGAGGCCCAGGCCCGGGACGCTCTCAAGGAACCGCCACGCAGCTGCAGATGTTTGTTTCGGGGATGTAGGATTTTCGGTTTGGGGATCTGGTGTGTGGCCTACGCATAGAAATCAGCTGGGTTTGGGGCCTAGGAGTTTTCGTTGAGAAGCTCGAATTTCCGGGTGCTCCAAAGTCGATGCAAAGAAGGCCTGGTTTCAGGAGTTCGTCTCGAGATCAACCGACATGAGCAGTGCGAGGACCAACAAGCGTTGCAATAATCACAGTAGAGTCCTCCTTGTGCGCCAGCTGATCCCAACGGTAAGGTCAGCAATTGGGATGGCGAGAAAGGTTTTGGCTTCATCAAGCCAGACAGCGGAGACAAAGATCTGCGTCATGGCTGCACGAGGATAGTGACAGTGGCAGACCTCGTGTGCAATATCTGGCCAGTGGGATGCATGGGGGTTGTTTGGGCAGTGATTTTCAGGTCGCTGGCAAAAAAAGATTGCATGACTTGACCAGGTTCGTCCACTTCTCCTCACTGCCACGCGCGGCGCTGAAAAGGGGTTTGGGGCAGAGTCAGATGTGCTGTGCAAGCAAAATAGTAGCAACACGGCTTTTGGTTGCCTTTGCAAGATGACAGACCCAAGCTTGCCTGAGCAAAAGCTTTCCGATGAGCTGCAGCTGGAGGCAACTACCAGCGTGGAGGGGACTCCACTCTTCGACAGGGCGACCGCGTAACGTTCGTTGAGGCGTTCGACGACGCCAAGGCGACAGACTGGGGAGTTGCCTGCACGGATCTGGGAGTTTCCGAAAATAGGGGACCCTAATATAGTACCCCAAATAATAGGATCCTTATTATGAGGACCCCAGAATAAGGTCCCCCTTATTTTCGGAAACTCCCATCTCCCAAGAAGCCAATAATTAGATTCGCAGGGATGGAGTGCGAGAAGGCTAATCGAAAGCTTGCCGGAAGCAGAACTGCATACTACCGGACAGAAGATGACAGTGTTGAGAAAAACTTTCAAGGGGGTCGCCGCAGACCCTATAGAAATCACTTAATGTAGGGGCCTTAATAAGTAGAAAAAGGGCCTTGGGGTTCCTTATTATGAGTATAGTCCAATTATAGTAGAATATACCCCCCAACCTAATTCTTCAGGCCCCTATATGGGGGTTTCCGAAAATAGGGGACCCTCAAATAATGCTCTAAATAGTAGGATCCCTATTATAAGGAGCCCAAAATAAGGTACCCCGGTACCCCTTATTTTCGGAAACCCCCATATTATATTACAACACCCTTGAGCACCCCCGTCGTTTACCCTGGCCCTGCAGGGCAAGAGCTGCGCAAAGAACGTTCAGGCAAGCAGCGCTTGTTGAGACTCGGCGACGTGTTTAGGGTGTTGGGGTCCCGGCTGAAGAAGCTTTGAAGTTTAGGGTGGTAGGCATAGGGTTTAGGGCGTTTAATTAGGGCGTTTAGGGTTTCTAGGTACAAGTGCTTTCCCAATCAATGTCAAATCCTGCCAGCGTGCTATAACACAGTTCTTAGGCCAGGGGTGGCTGCTTGGGTTCGCAAGGGAAGCTCTCGACGGAGAAAGACAGTACCGGGCAGGATCTATGCGAGTTCTGCGTGCGTGGCTGCGTGTACATGTGCATGTGGGTCTGTTCGTGTGTGCGAACCATTGTGTTTGTGGTTCTCAGTATGTTTATGCGCATGGAAAGAAGCGTATGTTCATCATGCTGGACAGATACCTCTGGATTGACTGAGACGAACACACCGGCATGTATACATGCATGAATACATGCGTGGTTACACAGACATTCATACCATGTGTACATACATACATACATACATACATACTTACTTACTTACTTACTTACTTACTTACTTCCTTACTTACACACAATACATTACAGTCATAAAGACTTGTAAGAACAGTTTTAGAGTAGATGGTCTCTGTTTCGGACTAATCCTGTCTCCCTTCTCTCCATGCGTGTCTGATTGTGTATTATTCTTCACATGTGCGCATGTGCATTGCATGGATGCCGATATCGATATGGATGGCCATAGCGATGGCATTGACAAGGTCCAGGCCCGTAGCCCTTGCCGGGCCGAGGATGTTTAAGCACAGACCGTCACAGACCCTTTGAGCCCCGAACTTTTGGATCTCGAAACCAATTTTCGCGGCGTAACAATGTCATGCATGATCGGAAGTGCTCTGGAAGCACTGCTGCCTTGACTTCGCCACCTGCTCAAATCTTTGCCTCCCCTCTTGGACCCTCTCTCGGCATACATATTCGTGCGTGTACGCGCTTGTGTACTCCTCTGTGTACGTGCAGGTGCAGACTGCTGCAGAAAGGCAGGTAATATAGAGACATAAATAGTTACCTATACTTAGTGCGGGGGGTTCCTTATTATAAGTATAGTATAATGGGCCCCAAAACCCTATTCTAATTATTAAGGCCCCTGTAGTAGGCATGTAGGTCTGGTATGTGGTTTGTGTCTGCGCATCAGCCTACCGCAGAATCATGAATGTGTGTATGGACATATGCATTGCGGCATGTATGGTTGACTGTCATATGTACCGTGACTGCATGCAATCTATCTGTTTATTTGTCGGTCTATGTAGACATGCATACATACATACATACATACATACCTACATACACAGATACATACATACATACATACATACCTACATACATACATACATACATACATACATACCTACATACATACATACCTACAGAATGAGTGAGCAACTATGTTATGTGGTCTGTCTCTGAGAGCTGAA